GTTTATGCATCTATTTTTATAAATAACAGGAGTCTATAATTTTCTTTTTTTAAGAGTTATTTTCCTTTTCTATATTCAGAAGCAGTTTATGTAAAGTATATTTTTCTCTTCCTTGAAAGTTCAAAAAGATTCATTAGTAGTTCTGTCAGTTCCCAACTACCGCCACCTTAGAGATCAAGCAATTGGTCATTATTAGGTCATTATGATAAAAATTTTAAGGAAAGATAAGTTAATGAATGTGCCATCACAGTGTGAGTTTCTCTCAACCATCTCTACATGCTGTGCTCATGTCCCAGGAAACATTTTCAGTAGGATCCTGTTTACTTTTTTTTTTTTAAGATTTTGTAATTTATTTGACAGAGAGATCATAAGCAAGCAGAGAGGCAGGTGGGAGGGGGGAGCAGGCTCCCTGCTAAGCAGAGAGCCCGATGTGGGCCTCGATCACAGGACCCTGAGATCATGACCTGAGCTGAAGGCAGAGGCTTAACACACTGAGCCACCCAGGCGCCCACCTGTTTATTTTTTAACAAAGCAATCCAAGAAGCATGAACGTAAAGGACCTATGTGGGAGCGTATCTTATTTTTATAAGAATCATGGACAAGGGGCACCTGGGTGGCTCAGTGGGTTAAAGCCTTCCGCTTGGGTCATGGTCCTGGGATCGAGCCCTGCATCAGGCTCTCTGTTCAGCGGGGAGCCTTCTTCCTCCTCTCTCTCTGCCTGCTTCTCTACCTACTTGTGATCTCTGTCTGTCAAATAAATAAATAAATAAGTAAATCTTAAAAAAAAGGAATCATGGACGAGTTTGTTTCAGGGTTTATGGGTAACATATTTAGTGACAAAACTCTGAGGAAAACAGTCACTGGTCAAAACCCAGGGTGTACTTTATTTATTTACTTTTTAAACTTTTTTAAAAAATATTTTTGGATACTTGAGAGAGAGAGAGAGCACAAAAAAGGGGAGGAGCATAGGGAGAGGAAGAAGCAGACTCCCCACTGAGCAGGGAGCTCAATGCTGGGTTGGATCCCAGGATTCAAGATCATGACCTGAGCCAAAGGCAGAAGCTTCATCAACTGAGCCATCCAGGCGTTCCCCAAGGGTGTATTTTAATCTGCAGGTGCTTGGCTATTGAAGAAGGGAGGTCTGAAGTATCATTTATTTAAAAAGTTAAACAGCCTATCACTGCCTTTCCTGTAGATGTAGGCTGTAAAAGAAATTAGACTGTAAGCAAGACAAGAAAATGGGAATACTAACCCAATCCAATTTTGTAAGCATTGAGTAACTACACTGTGCAAAGCTCTGTCCTAGTTTTCAGAACAAATGAAAGCAATTTCCTGGCTCGAAAGAGTTTATTTATTTATTTAAGGTTTACTTATTTATATATAGAGAGAGAGGGTGAGAGAAGCTTCATCAGACTCTCTACTGAGCATGGAGTCCAATGGGAGGCTTGATCTCAGGACCATGAGATTGTGACCTAAGCCAAAACCAAGGGTTGGATGCTCAACGGACTAAGCCAAGCAAGTGCTCCATAGCTCCATGGAGTTTAAAACATAGTTATAGAAATATGTAAAATGTAATTCCAAACAGTAATTGTATACTTTTTTCAAGTCAGTTGGATTGATTTCAATGAGATGTATCACAACTATAACTTTGGGATACTTCAGCCTGGGTCATTAAAAAAAAAAAAATGTGTGCTTCCGAAGTTACCATAAGTCCAACCAAGATTATTCCATGGTAATATGGCTATGTTGGTTAGAAGGTGACTTGCTGGAGGAGTGTAGTCAATGAAGTGAAACATATATGTGTAAAAGGCTCAGTTGCATTTAATTCATTCTATGAATCATGTTCAAGATGTTGTAGTGGATTTAACAATAATGTCTCTGAGAATAGCATTTGAAGGTTTTTTTCTAAAAGATTTTATTTATTTATTTGACAAAGACAGTGAGAGAGGGAATACAAGCAGGGGGAGCAGAAGAGGGAGAGGGAGAAGCAGGCTCCCCGCTGAGCTGGGATCCGGACCTGGGGCTCAGTCCCAGGACCCTGAGTTCATGACCTGAGCAGAAGGCAGATGCTTAAGGACTGAGCCACCCAGGTGCCCCTAGCATTTTAAAGTTTTAACATTCTTCTCCCTGCCTTATCTCACCTGAGACTCACAGCAGCTTTGTGAGTTGGACAAATTAAGCAAAATTAACCATTTTTACACATGCAGAAATTGAGGTCCGAAAAGAGTTGATAGCCTGGGGTTTTGACTTAAGTCCCAGATCTACTCTCCAGTGGTTGTATAACTTTGAGCAAGTTATTTAACCTTGTTATGTTTTGGCTTCCTTATATTATATAAATTGTTTCCAAAAGTTAGGATGATAGTAATTATGGCACAGATATTTAATAAAATCATATATAAGATAGAAATTACTTAGATCTTTTCTGGACCAAAGTGAATACAAATACATAGGGGGCACTATTCACACAGTTTAAAACAATGTCCGTGCTTTCTGGAATTCTGCAATGTCATAGTCCTATAAAATAAAAGTAAGTTTGGAAACAAAAATTCCTAATACAAATATTAGTCACTTTACAAGCTCCTCAGTGTATATAGACTGAATGAATGATTCCAGTCAGACTGATTTTTCTTGTAATATCCTGTGGAAATTGGTGCACAGATCCTTAGGCTTATAGAATCTGAGAGCCAATAGGGATAAGAATCGTTTGGTTCAATCTCACTTTATAAGTAAGGAAATTGAGCATTAGCAAAAAGAGAAAGCTAAGTTCATATACTGGGCATCTCCTCCCCTGAGTTAGATCCAGTAACCTTAAAAAAGACACTCACACACCATGATTCTAAGATTCTTCATGCCCATCCTGAGTGGAGGTGGAGGAAGGACAGAGATGTGCTGGTGCAGCCTGAAGCCCAGGCAGGGCTGCCTCAGTGGGGAGCAGCAGTGAGGTGCTCCCTAGGAGGAACTGCTTAGGAGATCACAGGAGAGGATGAAAAACTTGGCTTTGAAAGGGCAACACAAAGGTCATAAACACAAAGCACCCCTGCAGGACTGCAGTTTATTTTTTTGTAAGAATCCTAGACAAGTCTATTCAGGTTTCTGTCCAAGACAAGATAAGGATGGAAACCTCTGCTCTCTCCTATCATCTCAGCATCTTGCTCCCAGGCTCCACAGGAGGATCACTAGGCTATTGGATTCAGATATGTGGGGGCTTCTGCAGGCTTTTCTGGGCAGGGCTGGGTCCCTAACCATCCATGACTTGGCTATCTATGACATTGTTTTCATGTCATAGATATGAAAACATATTTTGTTTCATTTTACAGAAACAAAATAACCGACTTCTTAATAACTCTGGAATAAATAAGCTGGAGACGGTGGAGCAGACTGCTGCTTGTCCTCTGGAAGAACTTTAAACTCAAAGGACTAAAAGCAAAAGATGAACAAACCAATTACTCCCACAGTAGGTTAGGAAGGTCATAGATGCTGGAAGCTCTTCTCTCTCCTCCTCTCCTTTTCCTCACTTTCTCTCCCTCCTCCTTTTCTTTATAGGCATGCCAGCTGCCGTGTTTAGATCTAAAAGAATGAGCATGACTTTCGTTTCATTTTGTTTTGTTTTGCCTGTCATGTTAAGAAATCTGGATTATAATGAAAATATCAGAGAGAACACACTGAAAGACAAAATTTGCAACAGGAGAACTCCTATACACAATGAATGATTTTCCCCAGCAGAGCTGACTTCAATATGTACTTTGGTTCAGTTAGACATCTTAGGGGCTATTCTATATTCTGGGAAATGGCTTTTTGTGTTGACATTGAGACTTTTCTTCACGACAAACACAAAGTACTGCTTTTCCATGTAATGGACATGGGTAAGAATTTACCATTTTTTGAATCCTCGTAACATCAATACTGTTCTTACATTATCTTGAGTGGATGTTTTGTAGTCAAAATAAAAAGGAAAGGACATTACCAATATAATGTCAACTGGATTAGAGGGATTTTTTTTTTTTTTGGTAGTCTTTTATGAAGACAGATCTTTCTGAAAAAGTCTTTCCTGAAAGACAGATCTTCCAGATCTAAACGTGATCTTGTGCAAGCTAACCTCTCCAGACTCCGCTTCCTCTGCTGTAAATGGAGGTATGCACAAGGTTGAAGAGAGGATGAAGTGAAGAGCAGATGAAACACTTGGCAGGTCCTGCTAGCAAGGACTCAATTCAAGTTTTGCTATTACTGTTAGTTTTGGACAAGTGTTAGACAAGGATATACTTTGTTTCCATTTGCTCACCTGTCAGAAATAGGCATTGGTCTTAGTCATTTTGACAGAATGAAATAATTTCCTTTGGGTCTTCTTTGGCTGTCTACAGAGCAAAGGAAACACGCCAGAGCAGAGATGTGCCCTTGAACCCGGTGTCCGGTTAGTCCAGCCTCCCCACCCAAACGTTTCTAATACTGAGTCAGACGTACAGAGCGTTAGGCCGAAATGAAAAAATTGCTGAACTTCCAGTATCCTTTTAAACCAAGATTAATTCTCACTGCGGGAGCAACGCGATATAAATCACCGTTGACAATACAAAACAGCACATCATAGCATAGAGAGCCCAAAAGAAAGCGATGGGAGCACCTAGACCTCTAGATCCCTAAACTTGGACGGCTCACCTCGCCTCTCTGGGCCTCAATTTCCCCACAGTAAGAACCCGGTTGTACTAAAACTGTTGCCCCAAATCCAGAGGCTCATCCGCCTCCAACTAAAAACAAAACAAAACACAAACACAAGAACCATCTATGTCCTTTAACACTAAAGGGGAAAACAGGCTGGCGTGAACACCGAACCCGCACGGGTACCCGGGAACCAGAAGCACGCACCACCGAATCGAAGGGGAGGGGCGGGAAGGCGGCGGCGGGAGCAGGAGCCTGAGCGGGCCGCCCCCTAGCGTGAGCACGCCGGCCCGCCCCGCCCCGCCCCGCCCCGCCCCCAGCCACCGCCCCGCCCGCTCGCGGCCGCGCGCAACAGGCCGAGCTGGGTGAGTGCAGCGGTCTCCGCCTGCTGTCCCGCGCAGCCCCTGGCGGGGTCGTGAGCGCTCTTCCACCGCCAGAGTGCGGGTGCGGGTGGGGCCTGGGGGGAGACCTGAGAGCCGAGCCCCCGGGAGCCTCGGGGGCCCGGGCTGGCGGGCGCTGGTGCTTTCGGGACCGGGGACGCGCGCTGACGCGCTCCGTGATTACGGGGACCGGGGCAGGGAGGACAAGCCGGGTCTGGTGCTGCCCGGATGGAGGGGTCGGGTCACGAGTGACCTGGGCACCGAGAGTGGCCCCCGTGAGCCGCCGGTGGTCTGGAGACTGGGACGAGCGCTCGGAAAGTTTGGAGGCTCGGCAGGGAGAGTGACGCTCGCCCTGGCCCCGGCGGCAGGCTGCCTGGGAGCGCGGCCTCCACGTGGGCTGTGCTCCTGGCATCTGGTCGGGCCTAGGAGACAGGCTTCCCAGCTGGGGAACTAGCAGCCCGTGCTGCAGAGCAGGGCAGCCCCGGCCCTCCATCCCGCCCTAACTTTAAAATTCCAGCCCCCACGTGCAGTTCACTCAGCACGTGTGACTAGCCTGGTGGCCCGACAGTGGGTTGTCCAACAGGTTAGTAAGGCCAGGTTGCTGACTGTTTTCAGGAAGCAGGGGCCTGGGAGTCACAGGATGTGATTAGTCCACTAATTAATTGTAAATTCGGCGCCAGGCCATTGATTTCACTGGACTCGCGTTTAAGTGGAGGAGCCTGATTTTCCCAGCCTCTGCCACAGTCTCTTGGATGGATGCTTTTGCCTCTCCCGCCTCATCCTTTTGAACGCCCTGCGTCACCAAAATACGTGAATGTGGTATAATCCATTTTCTCCTTAAAATGCAGCAAAGAAGATAACTGCCAATTACAGCCTTAAGTCAACAAGAGAATCAGTTTTCCCTCTGGATAAATGTTTCTGTTGAGCAAAAAATGGTTTAGGTCCGCCTAGGCGACCTCCTTACAGGTGATATTTCTGTCCTGTGTGTGTGCTTTTGAGCAGAATTTGACTATCCTCGGTGTGAATGGATCCAAAATTCCTGTGGGGAATTTACTACATTCATGTGGATTTCTAGGCCCCAGCTACCAGAAGGACTAATCCAATAGGCTTCATATGGGGCCCAGAAATGTGCATGCAAACAAGTGTTCCTGGTGACTACCCTGTAAAACACACCTCTGGAGATGATAAAGACACACCACTGAGGGCTAATGTGCCATTCAGCTCTGACAGTGCAGTGGAAAACTCAAGCTACAACTGCCATCAGAACAATCCCCACTGATTAAACTATTTCCCCCCCAACCCTGTTTTGTGTAAGGGTTTTGAGGACTTTTCTCTAAAATTATATATAAAAGATGAAAAAGGAGAATTCTGCAGACATTTCTTGGGGACCCATGTGCCACATTCTGTGCTGGGCTCTGGTAACGTGCAGATAGCTGTTGCCCTCAAGCTGTGTTGACTTCTTGTCAGGGAATATTTCTACAGAAAAGGAGGTTAGGACACTTAAAAATATAAAGGCTCTGTTTATATTTATCAGCCGTGGAGTGGTTATCAGTATTGATTTTATTGTAGGGTTCATTCTTTAAAGTTGGTTAGATTAGTTTTTTTTTTTTTTTTAATTTATGGACAGCTAGTAAAATATGAACTGAGTTTTGGTTTAATCTTTTTATACTTTAATGTTTATAGTCAACTCAGATTGGGAGCATTTGATTTAACCTTAAAACTTGAAATATAATTGATATATAACATTACTTTCAGGTATATAACATGATTTTCTATTTGTATACATTATGGGATACCAGTTGCTGTTTGTTTTTTGTTTGTTTTAAGATTTTATTTATTTATTTATTTGAGAGAGAGTGAGCAAGAGAGGAGAGAGCATAAGCCAGGAGCGGAGCACAGGGAGAGGGAGGAGCAGATTCCCCACTGAGCAGGGAGCCCACTGTGGGACTATATCCCAGGACCCTGGGATCATGACCTGACCCAGGGACCCCCCCCATTACTTTTTCTTTCTTTTTTTTTAAAGATTATATTTATTTATTTGATGCAGAGAGAGATCACAAGTAGGCAGAGAGAAAGGGGGGTAAGCAGGCTCCCTGCTGAGCAGGGAGCCTGATGCGGTGTTCATCCCAGGACCTTGAGACCATGACCTGAGCTGAAGGCAGAGGCTTAATCCTCTGAGCCACTCAGGCGCACCCCCCCCCTTTATTTTTTTAAATTTTTTTTTTTTTTCCTTTTTCCTGTAGCTTTATAAAAATATTTACTCTAACTTCTGTTTGGGTGGTCTTTGAGGTTTATGGTCTGGCTTGTGTTGGCTTTACTTTTCTAGACAAAGGTTTTTCTTGTTTAATTACTATATTTTTTAGATTCTGAGATAGTCTCTTTTACTTTTTCTAAAATTGTGATGCATCTTAAGATTTTTACATGTTTAATGTGGTAGGGTGTGTCATCTCTTCTCTCCTCCACCCCCAAAAGCTGTTGAAAAGAATGGTTGTCTTACAATATGGGTAGTGTGAGAATCAGAGAAATAGTATATTTTCCTGGTAACCTCTTAGCCAGTTTCCAATTAACTGAGCCTCAAATCATTTCAATATGAACATAGAAAAACAAGATATGCTGTAACTTTTGGCAGTGTGAGTAGTGAAATTTATATTCTAACAAAAGCATTTGTTATGCAGTCAGTGCTGGGTTTATTGGTGATTATAGATGGGAAAAATGCTTTAAGTGATTTTATTTTCAGCTTAAGTATTTTGTGTACTTCATTTAACCACACTTCCTGGAGAATGTGCTTATACTGTATTTATAAATTGTGCTTAAAGAAAAGCCTTTTATTGTCCTCTTCCTGCTGTCCACATCCCTTAAATAAATTTTAAACTGACCAATTGTGAGAGATAAGAGATGTATGGCTAACGATGAAATTACTTTTTCATTATAGGATACCTTAATGATACAAACCTTCTGAACCAATTTAACACTTTTTAAAAATTGGGAACAATGTGTTGGGGGTCTCTAAGACCATCCCTAGGTTCAGTCATTTGCTAGGACTCACAGCTGATTCATGAAAGCAACAGACTAGGTGCTTAATTGGCCCAGCAACTAGTTGTGACAGTACATGTGAAATATTGCCAACCAGGGAGGCTCATCAGACACTTCAGAACTCAGGGTTTTTATTGGGGGCCGACCATGTAGGCATCCTCTGCCTGGCACTGAGCCCCAACCAGAATTTCAGACTCCCAGAAGGAAAACTGGTGTTCGTTATAAACCACAGTGCATAAACAATATAGGCACAGTGAGTTACTTTTATTAATTAAAGGTGGTGGGAATGTTCCTGAAATCTAAGTTCTCAGACAATAGCCAAACACGGGGCCTTTCGAAGGACAGGCAGTAACTCTTCTGCACTGGTTGTGGTCTTTACTGAATCTGTCTTCATAGCTCCTTGTCTCTATACCACATCTGGGTTCTAAGTACTAGCAATACTTTGTCTCACTGAAGCCTTGATTCTTCAGTTGAGAAATCAAACTGGTCTCGGGAACTTAGGAGGAATAGGGAACATTTTCAGAAAATGTGACTTATGGATGACATATCCTAAAACTCTGAAAAAAATTTTTCCCCCTAAGCTGAAGCCCTCACTCCTCCGATGCAAGCTTTTAGTGTCGATTTGTAATCGTTTTCCACCTCAGTCCTGTGTTTTCCTATCAAAAGCACTTGATTTGAGCTGTTTATGGGTACAAAATTTAGAAGCTAAAATAAGGCCACTAGAGTTTTTGTATATTTTGATGTTTCCACTTCCTAAATTGCTCCATTTACATTTGGGTTCACTTATAAATTAGTTGTTACAGTGTGTAACACGTATTTCCAGGGTACTTTTTTGCCAGGCCAGACCACTAATTCTACTTAGTTCGCTGTGTAGCTGAAATACACCTTAGTTATAATAACAAAAGAGCAGAAAACAGTGTCTTAAAATTCTGCTAACCCTACAAAACAGTAAACCATAACATCGGTAAGTTACTGGACTTTGGGAAAAATTGTTTTTTATAAACATAATGGTTCTTAGCCTTTTTGGGGGCCAAAAACTCCTTTAAGAATTGGCTGAGAGCAATGTGCCTACCCCCAAATATACAGATACACATACACTTTGAAATAGAATCTTGCAGTTTCTGGAAAGTAATTTGAAATACCATCCTTGAATCCCATGTGAAAGACAGCAGCATCATAAATGTGACAGTAGTTGCGGTTTGGGGGCTGTTCTGAAAGAGGCTCAGCAAAGCTGGGGGTGTCGCTACTCAGATGTGGGCTGTGGACCAGCAGCAGCATTATTACCTGGGAGCTTGTTAGAAATGCAGAACCTTACCCTGCCTCAGCTCTAGCTGCCCAGATGATGGGCGTACATGTTAAAGTTGGGGAGAGCACTGTGTCTGAGGTTACTGATGTTGGTATTTTATTGTGTCTTCTCTTAGTTGAAAAGTTAAAACTTTTTAAAGATGGGATATACCTATCTTTAGCTTTTACTCTGCAGCCTCTAACTCGTGTTTTTTTGTTTTTATTTGTTTGTTTTTTTAATGGGAGCTGGGTTTCCCATAACGTAGCAATTTTCAAGAATAAGATGCAAATCAAAAGTGAGGAGGTTTATGTGGTGAGGAAAAGATTTGGGAACAGGCAGCTTCTTGCTCCCGCCACCAGGTGACGCCACTGGTCCAGGGCACATTGGTCGCCTTCCTGAACAGCAGTTGGGGGTGGTGCTGTGCCGAGGAGCACTTGGCAGTGGGCCTCTCTTAGTAGTTCTCAAGGCAAGTGTTTGTAACTCAAGAATACATCTAATTAGGTTTGGGAGCTGGTGCTGACAGAAGCCAAATTTGGGATTTTTGACTGCCGTGTCAGCGGTTGCTGGCTGAACCTGTGACCCAGAACTGCCCAGATAGCAGAACCATTCATTTGGGATCATTATACCTCCTAATAAACAGACAACGAATTTCATGACTTGGTGCTGATGTACAAGAAAAACATGCTTTCCTTTAGATGAATATGTAATCGGAGTGGTTGAGGCTGAATCCTATCTTGGGACTTGTGGTGTTGGCTGGAGGCTCTGTCACATCCCAGAGGAGATGGCATTGACTTCCAAATTCTCCTGAAAGTGTCATGGTCACACAAGCTGTGTGTGCATGATCTGCTAACACAGACACTGGCACTCCTAGTTAGCCTAACCATGTGTGTGCTTTGTTCTTTGGTAGGTCCATTTCCTCACTGCTTTGTCTTGAGGACGCAATGATGCCGAAGAAAGCAAAGCCCACAGGGAAGGGGAAGGAAGAGGGATCTGTTCCCTGTAAGCAGTTGAAGATGGAGGCAGCTGGTGGACCCTGCTCCACTTTGAATTTTGAAAGCCCCAGTGATCTCTTTGAAAGTTTAATTTCCCCCATCAAGACAGAGACTTTCTTCAAGGAATTCTGGGAGAAGAAGCCCCTTCTCATTCAGAGAGATGACCCTGCAGCGGCCACATACTACCAGTCTCTGTTCAGGCTGTCAGATCTGAAGATTCTGTGCAGCCGGGGTATGTACTATGGAAGAGACGTGAATGTTTGCCGCTGTGTCAACGGGAAGAAGAAGGTTTTAAATAAAGATGGCAAAGTGCACTTCCTTCAGCTGAGAAAAGATTTTGACCAGAAAAGAGCAACAATTCAGTTTCACCAACCTCAGAGATTTAAGGTAACAGGTTCTCCCCATCACAGAATCATTTCGTGTGTTAAAGTGCTAACATGTGGCCCCAGATCAGCTCAGGGATGAACCTGGGATGATTAGCGTCCTGCCAGTTTGAATGCTCTTTAAATCCATTCCAAATTAGGAGATCTTGTGTTATCTTTTGGCTAAACTGTTAGAATCACGCAACAAGTCAGGGGGACATAATTCGGTGTCATCACACTGCAAAAACTGTATTGCAAGTTTATAAATTAACATTAAACCTCCAGGAGCATGTTCTGTGGGTGGTTTATGTTTCGGTGTGTATGGTAGACATTTCTATTGGGTTTGTCCTGTCATTATAATTTAAGACATGATAGTATCAGGGTGATCATTTTCTTCTTGAAGTTGGTTCCCTTTACTGCTCACATCGAGCTAAGTAGAGGCTTCCGAGCTGTGACCAGATAAAGTACCAGCTGCATGTTTAAGAATGAGACTTTACAATGAGACTTATTAACAGCCTCCAGGTAACTTGGAGGGTGTGGGTCCTGGAACTACTCCTAGGGAGGCCATCATAGGTGGAAAGTAGCTTTGATTTGCAAGCCTGGGAGTCTTGGCTCACTTTTTATTTATTTTATATCAGGCTTAACATTCAAGAAATAATTGACTTTCTCTCTGCTCAGTTTCTGCTTCATAAAATAGAATCTTAGCTAATCTGCTTTTGTAGAGGTTTGAGATCTTTAGATGACAGGTGGCCCAGAACAAATGAGGGCCTCTTTTCAGTTCAGAAATCCCCTTTCATGACCCATGGCTGAACCAAAATGGCAGCATGGGAGGAGGAGGAGAGCTGTTTTTGAGGTTCCCTGGTGAGGATTCTGGCTGTGTGATGGCTCCTGGGACTTTGTCATCCGTTATCAGTACTGTTTCCTATGACTGAATTTAGTTGCTTTGTTAGAGACCATTGGCCAGATCTAGTGAATGCCTTTTCCTCTCTTGTCCAGAGTAACTTGAACCTATTTGTGCTCTGGATAAAGTATAAGTATTCTTAGATGTTCAGTACAAGTCCTGATTTCAGATAGTCCATCTCATGCAGTCATAAGAAGTTGAATTGTTCCTGGAATGCCAACCTTTTGGCCCAAACACTGAAAAATAATTTACAAATAACTCGCCAGACCAAGTCATGATTTTAATTCAGGAAATATGGATACCATGGTGCTTCTCTCTGAGCTAGTCCTTGACTCTTTCCTTGGATAGAAGCAGCACTTTTTTTTAAAAGTGGGTTTTAGACACAATAACTATGAACATAAAAGGTCAACGAAGTTGATTATATGTAATTTGGTAACAAATTAGTAAAGGCTATCATTTGCCATATGAGTGGTGTCCTTAGTGGCTGTCATTACTCTATTCTAGAATCATCTTGGGCTTTTCCCTGCTCATCTCTTAAGTCCTGCCCATTTCTCCTCTGATTCCAGGTGGCCAAGAATGTATTTTCTTTGCCCTGTTGACTCAGCTCTTTGGCCAGGTTTAGGAAAGTGGGAAGGATGAGCTTTCTCGGTCTAAAGTCAGCCCCCTGGCTAGACTGGGATGTACCCTGCTAATTTTCTCTTTCCACCACTTGAGAGACCTATAGGAGCTCACCCTCTTACAGTGGATGCTGGGTTCTAAATAGTTTATTATGAGGAGGTTTAGTGTGTGTGTGTGTGTGTTTAGGAATGTGCATATTAATATCAGGATAGTAAAAGTCTAGAGGCAGTTCATCACTGGCTAGGTTGAGAGACTGTTAGAGTAGACAGTGTCTTATTTGTTGAGTTTCAGAATGTGTACAAATTCTTACTCTAGTTGGTCTGGAATGAATAAGGAGGTAATCAGAGAGCCCTAAGTTGTTCCCCACCTTCTTTGGATAATCCATATGCCAGAGGTCTGAGTGTGTTTACCAAATCCACATGTGTTCACTTATGAATTGTCTTTTTTTATATTATTTATTTATTTGAGATAGAGAGCAGGAGCAGGGGAAAGGTGGAGGAAGAGGGAGAAGTAGACTCTCCCCATAGAGCACAGAGCCCAATCCCAGAAGCCCAAGATCATGACCCAAGTTGAAGTCAGATGCATAATCTACTGAGGCACGCAAGTGCCCCACTTTGGAACCTTCTAACAGACATTTGAAATGAGGCATTCACTGTGGTCTCTATTTTGTATATGAAAACATTGGAGTTCAGAGCTATGGACCTTTTCCATAACTGCTAAGTAAGGACTTCTGACTCCAAATCTGAGGCATTTTCCTGCCATACTTTTAAAGATGTTGATTGCTACATAGCAGGGCTTTGCCATGTTTGTTTTTGCCTTTCTTTAGGTGTACCCATGGGCTTCTGGTTCCACAAGCAGTTGCATTCAGTTTTGATTTTTATGAGTAGGTCAGTGGAGAGAGAAGGTTGTACCTGTCTAGGGGAGAAGCTTCCACCTTCCCTTTTCACTGCTCTGGGGTCCTCACTGGCATCTCCAGACAAGGTTGGGAAGCCTGACTTAAAGAAGACAGATTTTGATTGCCAGGGTGGCTCAGTCAGTTAGGTGTCTGCCTTTAGCTCAGGTCATGATCCTGGGGTCCTGGGATCAAGTCCTGCATTGGGCTCCCTGCTCTGCAGGAAGCTTGCTTCTCCCTCTGCCTCTCTCTCTCTCTCTGTCTCATGAATAAATAAATTTTTTAAAAAATCTTAAAAAAAAGACAGGTGTTTTGTTTTAAGATTTTATTCATTTATTTGACAAAGAAGGCAGGAGGAGCAGGAGAGGGAGGAAGAGGCTCCCTGCTTGGCAGAAAGCCAGACATGGGGCTCAATCCCAGTACCCTGGGATCATGACCTGATGCTTGAGCGGGGAGCCCAGATGCTTGAGCGGGGAGCCATAAAGTCACCCATCTGGTGCTGAGATGCCTCTCAGGCCATCAGAAGGAGTAGCCCTGGTTTTCTAATGGTTCCAGTTATAGTATGCGTGTAATTACAGAGCCAGATCCTATTGGCCCCTCCCTGGTATAAATTAGGCTCTTTGGGGGCTCTCTTAACTCCTTGGAGCTACTCAGAAGCCATTAAGTTATTCTTCCTCTGTTAAGTAGAGCCCTTGATCTATAAATGGATCAGTAGCCCAGTGGTCTTTATAAAAGTGTCTCCCAAATTGCTTTTCCTACTGACCTAATTCTTTCCCACTTGATACTTTTAATACTGTAGATCCTTTTTCAGTCAAATGGTAAGACTGACTCCCAAGCTGTGGTCATTGGCTGACTCCCTAAATTTTTAAAAATACATTTTAGTGTCTTTTGTATGCCAAGCACTGTACATTCGTATCCTTGAGACTGAATGTCTTTAATATCCGTTAGTGTCCTCGTAGTGACTTTTGTTTCCTTTAAGATGATTCCTAAAGAGGCAGTATGGGGCCAGGGCTAAAGGGCTCCAGCCAGGCTGCCTGGATTTCAATCCTGGCTCCATCATATCTTAGCTGTGTGTTCTCGTGCTTTGGTTTCCTCATCTGTGAACTGGACATTAAGACATTGCTCCCCTTACGGGACAGGGTTGTTGGGAAGGTTATATAACCAGGGTATGTAAAGCACTTAGAAACAGGGCTTGGCAGAGAACGGGGGCTAATACCTGCCTGGCCTGACTGCTCCCCACCTCTCCTCATCTGCTGGGCAAATCAGCATTCATAGTCTCTCTCTCAGGAACAACTATAGAACTCTCCCTGCACACCCCCACACCGCTCCCCACCTGCAAAAAAATTCTTGTTCTTTAACAAGTCTTTCCCATTTCAGTAAGGTGAAGCAGGCGCTAATTAATTACCCAGCCAAATCTAGAAGGGTTTTAATCCCCTTCCCCTTCCCAAACCCCGTCGTACTTCATCATAATCCCTCACACTCTGTGCTACTTCCAGGGTGCATCTCCACCTCCTCTTCCCCCCACCAACCTGCTCATCTCTGGCCTGGGCTCCTGCCTTAATAGCTTCCTGACTGATGTCTCTTCATTTTCTCCAGGCCACTCTCCACACAGTAGCCAGAGTGAGCTTTCAGAAATATACATTACCTCTCAACTCTATGGTCAACTAATCTTTGACAAATCAGAAAAGAATGTCCAATGGAAAAAAGACAGTCTCTTCAACAAATGGTGTTGGGAAACTTGGACAGACACTG